GTCTTTTGCCGTTAAGTCTCAGGTTAGTCATATGTTTTTCATAGATGCCTTTTATTGGATTGAGGATGTTCTATTCTAGTTTGTCATGATTTTTATTAAAAATGGATGTTAGATTTTGCCAAATGCCACTTTTGTACTGATCAAAATGATCATGTAATTTTTTTAGTTTGTTAATATAGTAATACATTGATAATATTAAACCAACTTTGCATTCCTGAGTAAACTCTACTTGGTCTTGATGTATTAATTTTTAAATATATTGTTGGGTTCAATTTGTTAACAACTTTTTAAAGAATATTTACTTCGGTGTTCATGGATAAATTTGGTCTGTAGTTTTTTTTTCTTGTGATATGTTTGTCTGGTTTTTGTATAAAGATATTGCTGGCTTCATAGGATAGGTCAGGAAACATTTTCTCCTCTTCAGTTTTTTAGAAGAGTTTGTGTAGAATTGTTATTATTTCTTCCTTAGGTAGAATTTGTCAATGAATCCATCTAGGCCTGGAGTTTTCTTTTTATGGGAAGGTTTTAAATAAAATATTCAGTTTTCTTACTAGATATTAAACTATTCATGTTATCTATTTCTTCTCAAGTCAGCTTTGGTAGTTTATGTCTTTTCAAGGAATTTGTTCATTTCATCTGAGTTGTTGAATTTATTGGCATAAAGTTGTTCAAATTATATTCCCTTATTAACCTTTTAAGATCTGTAGACTCCATGGTGATTCCACATCCATTATTGATAACCTCCCCCTCCGTCCCCTTTCTTCCCTCTCTTTCCCCCTCTGTGTCATAATCAGTGTGACTGAGGGTATATTAATTTTACTGACCTTCTTCAAGAACCAGCTTTGGTTTCATTGAATTCCTCTGTTGTTTTATATTTTATTGACTTCCTTTTTTCTGCTTTCTTTGGGTTTACATTTCTTGGTTTTCTCGTTTTTTAAAGTGGAAGCTGAGGTTGATTCGAGATCTTCCTTCTTTTCTAAAATAGGCATTTTAATGCTATAAATTTACCCCAAAATACTACTTTGGTAGTACCCCACAAATTCTGATATGTTGTGTTTTCATTTTTATTCAGTTCAAAGTCCTTTCTAATTTCCCTTGTGATTTATTCTTGATTCATGAGTTGTTTAGAAGTGTGTTATTTACTTTCCAAAGATTTGGGGGATTTGCCAGAGATGTTTCTAGTACTGATTTCTAATTTAACTCCATTGTGGTGTAAAAAAATCACAATTAAAAACATTCTCTGTATAACTTAAATCCTTTTAAATTTACTAGCATTCGTTTTATCACCTGAATATGATCTTTATAGATGTTTCCTGTGCACTTGAGAAGAACATAATTTTTTTCTGTAATTGGGTGGAACGTTCTATAAATGCCAGTCAAGTCAAATTGGTTTATAGTGTTGCTCAGTTTTATTATATCCTTGTGGATTTTTTCTGTTATTATTTTATTAAGAGAGATGTATTGAAGCCTCTGGCTATAATTGTGGTTTTTGTCTGTTTCTCCTTATTGTTCGGTCACTATTTGGAAGCTCTGTTATTAAGTATATAAACATTTAGGATTGTTATGTTGTCTTGATTGATCTCTTTGTTATTATTATGAAATTATTATCTCTATCCCTTGTAATAGTCTTTGCTCTGAAATCTACTTTGGGGGTTGTGTGTGTGTGTGTCTCCCTTTATTCTCTCTACCTTTTCATTGGTGTGTTTTCCATTGATACGGTTAGATTTGAGTCTGTGATGTTACTTGTTTTTTATTTGTCACATTTTTGTTTCCTTGCCCATTTACACATTCCTTTCTGTAAGGCTGCTCTTGGTGGTAGAAATACAGCTATGAATTAAAAGATTGAAGTAAAGAATACTTTTTCTCTTATACTCTTGTGGTGTGGTACATTAACTGTTATCATATATGTCAACCTAGTTCATCCTTGGCAGCCAGATATGAGACAAGGTGTAAAATTGATTGGGCTATGATTCAGAGTGAGGAAACAACTTAAAAAGTATATTGAACACTATGACATTAGTCAGGCCCTCTCTGCACTTTTTCTCTTTTGGTTTAAACTGTATAAAATATCGTGTTGATACTATAGGTAATTGATGACATATCAATTGGTTATTGATATTAGAAATGCTGTTTAGGTTCCTCTTTCACAGTTATGGGAATCTTCATTCAGAGCAATAAAATCATTCCTCCTGGATGTCACATGTTGGCAGCCTGAAAAAGAGGATGCTGTCTTCACATTGTTTTATGGTCACTACTTTGAACTCACTTGCCTCTTAAGAGATATCTTGAGCACTGCAGCTAATTAGAAGGAAAGGGGGCAATTTTGTTGTGAATATGTTCAGTGATAAAAAAGATATCAGTAGCTGCTATTGTATTGCTCAGGCCGTATGAACAGTTAATCGGAGAAAGAGACTGGGAGAGAAAGGGAATTAGGACAGGAGTCTTGGATTATAGATTCTGCCTTGTTCCTGGCACATCGTCTGTTCTTAACTGAGTTGTTACCCCTCTTTGACCCTCAGTTTCTGTGATTGCACTAGAATGCAAATGTTGTATTCTTCTAACACTGAAAAAGTTACACATGCTGGAGTACTTAAAATTCCCTTTTCCTTAGAAGTGTAAAACAGTAGGTTTTAAAAACTATGAATTATGTAGACTTTGATAGTATTAATATTTTAGGTGAACCTGCACTTAAATATGTGATACAAAGAACAACACCTCAAAGTTTCTGCTTTGCAGTACTGACTCATATTGGTAAAATTATGATGTGCATATGGTTATTAGACTGCTGTAGATCCCAGTGGATACATTAGATTGAAAAACTTGAATGAAATGGGCTCATGCACACTCTTTTTTTGCAGTTGCCTTTTCTTTAGCAGAGATTAATATGAGATGGTGCAACCTCATTGGGGGCCATACTTGTTGGTAGCCATCTGAGGATTGTAATTTTAGATCTTCCAAATTGCAATCATAGAAATCTGTTTGTCATGAATAATTCATGGTGAAGGAATATAATAAAATTATTTCTAAATTTTAATTTTTAACCACTAACCCATGCTCCTTGACATGTTTGTTTTTTAGTTTTTTCTAATTTATCAGTAAGTAAATTGTGGGGCATGTGTGTTGATTCTTCTGGTTGGAAAACCCTTCCCTGTATCACTTTTATATGTAGTGAATGGAATTTATAAGAAACAGTATCTATTTACAGGTACTGCTCAACATTGGGGTGAAGCAATCCCTATGCTTGGATCCCTGCCCTCTTCCAGATAGCTCTCTTCCTTCAGTAAATGTTTAACATGCATTCCCTATGCTCCAAACCTGTTGTTGTTATGAGAGACATTAGAGGAATATAAGAGATGGTCCCTATTTTCCAGAGTTTCATCTTTGGGTTACTTAATTACTTTGGGACAGTATAAAATAAATAAACTGTGAAAAACACTCTGAGAAAAGTTAATGGATAGATATGCCCTGAGTTTTTCCACTAATCTCCCTTATGGTTTTTATAATGTCATATGTTTTTCTTGGGAGAGTTTCCTTGTAGCTGTATTTGTGATCTTGGGCTAGGATTTATGAGCTGCTACCATTAAGGTCTCCCTCTGGCTTTGTCATCAGAGATGGAGAGTTGTGTGTGGTTTGTTTTCTTAGTGTTTATATATGAGAATTTTTCCTAATCAGAATAAATGCATAAGCATTTTTCTTGACTGTGTATTTTTGGATTGACTTACTAAGAGAAATGGGCAAATTATGAAAATTTCTTCCTAAAATTAAAGACAAAATTTCCAAAGCAAGATGCATTGTGATTATCTGAAGAAATGTATGTCTTCTCGTTTTAGTGTTTAGAATTGATTTTTTAAAAAAAATTAACTGTAATAACTAGGGCAAGTAGAAAAGTTAAATGAAACAGAAAACATAGTGGTGGGAAATAGAAGGAGAAAACACTGGACATTTATGAAAACTATTCTGGATCTTACTGCTGATATTAAGATTAGATGTTGATTGACCTCAAGGATATTTGAGCTACACTCAGTAAGTTACTTTGCATTTGTAAAATTCTCACATATCATACTGTATCATCTTTGACTTTTTGACTTTATGCTTGTAGTCTATGAAAGGCTTATATCTCTGGCTGAGTCAGTCATGTGCTTAAATATAAACTATTACTAACTAGCTCTGTCTTCTTTCTACTCCTAGTGAGGTTTATTGGGGCAAACTCAAATCTGTTTGCATTTTTATTCACCTACCATGAGCTGATCCTTTGTTTTTTTGTTTTTTTTTTTAAGTGAAAGTAGATGTTTATTACAGAACGATTTTTTTCTATGAATTAAGTGCTTTAAACAAAAAACTATAATACCATGACTTGACAATGACCTGGTAGCATTCAAATGCTTCAGGCTGGAGAGGTGTGTTTGTTCTTAGTGAATTTACATACAATAAATTTTTATGACATTTGATTCCAAAATGTATATATGATTTGTAGTGGTAGAGACGGGGTCTCACTGCGCTGAGGCTGGTGTCGAACTGCCGAGCTGCAGCTATCCTCCCGCCTCGGCCTCCCAGGAAGCTAGGACCACAGGCGTGAGCCACTGCGCCTGGCCAAAATGTATATATGATTTGGCCTGACATGATTAACAATTTAAAGTAAAACATAAACATAAGGGCAATTTAAACATTGGTATTAATTTATATGAGTCAATTCAAGGTCAGTGACTGGAGACCTATATTAAAAAAACTTGAAGTCAAATAATCTTTAGCAAGCAACACTGTACTGATGTACATTTGAAGATCAAGGGGTAAAAATCCACTGTCAATGAATACCATTAAGCAAAGGATGTATAACATCCATCACACATCTGTTTCAAAAACAGCATGTTTCCAAAATTATACATCTCTTTACAAATAGACATTACAGTATTAATAACTACAGAGACACCATCAGGACGAGTTCCAAAATATGCTGCTAACTTTCACAAGGCATCCCTGAGCCATCTCTTAAGGCATCCATTTTAATCTCGGGGCTTTAAGAACATCTCCTTTTCTTTAGGCAGTTTTACATCTCCATTTTCATGTTCTTCATAACTGACCCGGTCTCTCTTCTTGGCAAACTTTTTCCCAATTGTCCCCACCAAGGTCTCGTATCTTCTAGCCATTTCTTCATCTGACACATCGACCTCCTCTGTTTTATCTTCAAAAACTTCTGCTTTGTTCTTAGCATTCATCTGAAGCATTAATTTCTCAACCTCAGGATTAAATCCTCTGAATGACATTCTTCCATAGAGAAGATCTTCACATAACAAGAAACTCTGCTCTTGTATTATGAAACTCTCTTTGTCAGTGCTGGCAAATCCAAGTACCAGTGTTCTTCACCAATGATTTTCTTTTCTTCCCCTTCTAGTTGTTTCTTCGTTTCTGAGTCCAGTCCCCTTTGCATGAACTTCATGCGCATCAGGTTCTTGGACAACTTGGTCTTCTGCTACGAGCCCAGCCGCACACACGCGCTTCCCCCTTTGTTTGTTCTTGAAAAAGATGTTTTTGTATCTGGTAAAACAGGTAGCACAGGATTAATTTAACTGAAGCCTCTTTTAAGACTTTAGAAATGGCTTATTTAAGCTTTACTGCTTTGTCAGCCAGGCCAGGTGGTTTATACCTGTATTCCAAGATCTTTGGGAGGCTGAGGCAGGAGGATTGCTTGAGGCCAGGACTTTGAGACCAGCCTGGGCAGCATAGTGAGACGCCCCCTCCCCCCCATCTCTACAAAAAAATTAAAAAATTAGCCAGGCGTGGTGGCAATACCTGTAGTCCCAGCTGCTTGTGAGGCTGAGGTGGGAATGATTGCTTAAGCCCAGGATGTGGAGGTTACAGTGAGCTATGATTGGGCCACTGCACTTCAGCCTGGGCAATGCAGTAAGACCCCATCCTATCTGTTTATCTATCTATCTATCTATCTATCTATCTATTTTCTTTTTTTTTTTTCCATCCTATTTAAAAAAAAAAAAAAAGCTTTGCTGCTCTCTTAGCATTTTTACTATATAGACCCTGGTATGTGGTATTGATATGTACAATAAGCATTAATTTGGGAAGAAAAACCACATATCATGTGCTTATGCAACCCATACAAATTCACTTCTCAGAGTGATTTTTTTATTGTGGCCAGCTCCAAAACTCTTGATTTAATTTAAGATTGTAATGGTGGATTGCTTTCCTAGCTTGTATACCAGAAAAAATACTTCTCTCTTACATATTTCCATACTTCTTAGTGAAGACTATTTATGTATAGAGTGTATACATTATATTAGAATACCATCTGGGTAACTCCAGACTTGGTGACATAGTTGTAGAAAAGGGTATTGGCAGTGTGAAGTGGGAGTATATTATCTCTTGGTTGATTTTGTACAGCATTTTGGATATTTTCTATATTTTTTATATATTCCCTTCCCTCTAGAGTTGGTCTGCTATAGTAAAAGGAAAGTAATGTTGATACTGCTTCCCTAAGGATTTATATAGTAAGCAAAAAAGAAATGAGGGAAGTAAATGTCTATTTTTTTGAAGAATAAATCAATAAACATGGTTGAAAGTGCTTAATCAATTGTTAGACTATTAGTTATCAGAGATTGAGACACCTTGCGCCCATTCTAAGTGTTTTCCTGAATCCACCCTATGAATAATTGGCCAAGACACCTCCTGTCCCTGCCTCTTCTTTTTTTTTTTAAGAGATAGAATTGACATAAACTAGATTATTCATGTTCCATTTTGAGTTTATTTTTGAATATGGTGCAGGTTTAAATCAAAGTTAATTTCTCTTGCATATGGGTATCCAGTTTTTCTGAAGGTATTTTTAAAAAGCTATCCATTCTCCACTTTTGCACTGCCTTTGTACTTTTGTAAAAATTAGTTTTTCATATATGTGTAGGTTTATTCTATACTGTATATTCTGTTTAATTGATCTATTTGTCTATTTTTATGCCAGTATTACACTGTCTTTATTACTGTAGCTTGTTCTGTAGTAAGTTTTCGAGTAAGCTAGTGTTAGTCCTCTGTTAGAACTTTGTTCTTTTTCAGAGTTGTTTTAACTTTGCCAGGTTCTTTCCACTAGCATTTGAATTTCAGAATCAGCTTGTCAGGTTCTAAAAAGAATCCTGCTGAGTTAATTTGTTGAAATTATATTAATTCTATAGATCAATTTGAAGAGAATTGACAGTTTAAAAAGAGTTTCCAACTCTTGAATAAGGTATGTCTTTCTATATAGGTCTGTCTTACTTCTCTAAGCAAAATTTTGAAGTTTTCAGTAATAAGTCTTTCACATCTTTTTGTCAATTTATTCCTAAGTATTTCCTATTTTTGGTGTAGTATTAGTGTTTTATTTTTAAATTTCAGTTTCCAGTTCATTATTAATATGTGGAAATACACTGATTTTTTTTTTTTTGCATATTGATCTAGTATCCTGCAGCCTTACTTAAACTCACTTATCAGTTCTAGCAGTATTTTTTTGTAGGTTCCATTGGGTTTTTTACGTGAGTGATCATATTTTTAGTGAATAGAGGCAGTTTGTTTCCTTCCTCATAATCCAGATATCTTCTATTTCTTTTTCTTGCCTGATTGCTCTGTCTAGAACCTCCAGCATCATATTTAATAGAAGTGATATGAGTGGATATACTTAGCTTGTTCCTAGTTTTAGGGGAAAAAACATACAGTCTTTTGCCGTTAAGTCTCAGGTTAGTCATATGTTTTTCATAGATGCCTTTTATTGGATTGAGGATGTTCTATTCTAGTTTGTCATGATTTTTATTAAAAATGGATGTTAGATTTTGCCAAATGCCACTTTTGTACTGATCAAAATGATCATGTAATTTTTTTAGTTTGTTAATATAGTAATACATTGATAATATTAAACCAACTTTGCATTCCTGAGTAAACTCTACTTGGTCTTGATGTATTAATTTTTAAATATATTGTTGGGTTCAATTTGTTAACAACTTTTTAAAGAATATTTACTTCGGTGTTCATGGATAAATTTGGTCTGTAGTTTTTTTTTCTTGTGATATGTTTGTCTGGTTTTTGTATAAAGATATTGCTGGCTTCATAGGATAGGTCAGGAAACATTTTCTCCTCTTCAGTTTTTTAGAAGAGTTTGTGTAGAATTGTTATTATTTCTTCCTTAGGTAGAATTTGTCAATGAATCCATCTAGGCCTGGAGTTTTCTTTTTATGGGAAGGTTTTAAATAAAATATTCAGTTTTCTTACTAGATATTAAACTATTCATGTTATCTATTTCTTCTCAAGTCAGCTTTGGTAGTTTATGTCTTTTCAAGGAATTTGTTCATTTCATCTGAGTTGTTGAATTTATTGGCATAAAGTTGTTCAAATTATATTCCCTTATTAACCTTTTAAGATCTGTAGACTCCATGGTGATTCCACATCCATTATTGATAACCTCCCCCTCCGTCCCCTTTCTTCCCTCTCTTTCCCCCTCTGTGTCATAATCAGTGTGACTGAGGGTATATTAATTTTACTGACCTTCTTCAAGAACCAGCTTTGGTTTCATTGAATTCCTCTGTTGTTTTATATTTTATTGACTTCCTTTTTTCTGCTTTCTTTGGGTTTACATTTCTTGGTTTTCTCGTTTTTTAAAGTGGAAGCTGAGGTTGATTCGAGATCTTCCTTCTTTTCTAAAATAGGCATTTTAATGCTATAAATTTACCCCAAAATACTACTTTGGTAGTACCCCACAAATTCTGATATGTTGTGTTTTCATTTTTATTCAGTTCAAAGTCCTTTCTAATTTCCCTTGTGATTTATTCTTGATTCATGAGTTGTTTAGAAGTGTGTTATTTACTTTCCAAAGATTTGGGGGATTTGCCAGAGATGTTTCTAGTACTGATTTCTAATTTAACTCCATTGTGGTGTAAAAAAATCACAATTAAAAACATTCTCTGTATAACTTAAATCCTTTTAAATTTACTAGCATTCGTTTTATCACCTGAATATGATCTTTATAGATGTTTCCTGTGCACTTGAGAAGAACATAATTTTTTTCTGTAATTGGGTGGAACGTTCTATAAATGCCAGTCAAGTCAAATTGGTTTATAGTGTTGCTCAGTTTTATTATATCCTTGTGGATTTTTTCTGTTATTATTTTATTAAGAGAGATGTATTGAAGCCTCTGGCTATAATTGTGGTTTTTGTCTGTTTCTCCTTATTGTTCGGTCACTATTTGGAAGCTCTGTTATTAAGTATATAAACATTTAGGATTGTTATGTTGTCTTGATTGATCTCTTTGTTATTATTATGAAATTATTATCTCTATCCCTTGTAATAGTCTTTGCTCTGAAATCTACTTTGGGGGTTGTGTGTGTGTGTGTCTCCCTTTATTCTCTCTACCTTTTCATTGGTGTGTTTTCCATTGATACGGTTAGATTTGAGTCTGTGATGTTACTTGTTTTTTATTTGTCACATTTTTGTTTCTTTGCCCTCTTTTCCTACCTCCTTTTGGATTAATGAGGTATTTTTTAAGATTTCATTTTATCTTTTTTTGTCTCATTAGCTATAATTATGTATTCTTTTGTTTTTCATGGTTGCTTTAGGGCTAAAACTGTATATGTCTTTAATTTTTCTGTCTTCAAGTGATATTACATCACTTCCTGATTAATATAAAAATGTTACAATTACTCTTCCATTTACTCATATTTCCTTCTTTACAGCCTTTATGTTGTTGATGACATGAATTTCACTTTTTGTATGTTAAAAAAGGCCATAATGTATTGTTAGTGTTTCTGCCTAAACAGTAAATTATCTTTAAAGAGATTGTAAATAATAAGAAAAATAAATAATTAGGAAAAAAATCTTGTATTTCCTCCCATGCAATTAACATTTCAGTTGCCCTTCCTTCCTTTGTGTAGATCCAATTTATAGCTGAGCATTTTCATTTTGCCTGAAGGACTTTCTTTAATGTTTCTTACTGAAGTAGTTTACCGACGATGAAATCTTTCAGCTTTTATGCCTGGAAACATATTTATTTTGCCTTGTTTTCAAAAATTCGTTTTTGCTGGGAATAGAATTCTAGGTGGACAGTTGTTTTTTCTTTCAGTACTTTAAAGGTATTGCTCTGCTGTCTCCTCTCATTGTTTGCCATGAGAAAGTGAATGTCATTCTTAGTTCCTCCCAGTGTAACATACCTTTTTCTTTTCGTTGACTGCTTTTAAGAATTTTCTCTTTTTTGCTGCTTTTGAGCATTTGGTTATATTGTACTTTAATGCAGTTTTCTTCATGTTTCTTGTGCTTTGCGTTGTAGAGCTTCTTTGATCTGTGGGTTCAAAATTTTTAGGAAATTTGGGAAATTTTGGTTTGGGTTTTTTTTTTTTTTTTAATCTCTCCATTTAACCTTTTCAGGGACTACAATTAAGCAGGTACTAGGTTGTTTGGATTCTTCCTACAGTTTGCTGGTGATATTCCTTCCTTCCCTCCCTCCATCCCCAT